TTAAGCAAGCGAATAAGCCAATTGGAGTAAAGTGCCATGCAGATTTAAATTTTTCCCACTTGTGACGAATGCAGCTATCGATTTTTTTTGCATGCTAGTTAACATTCGTGTCAGTCAGCTGCTGGCTCTCACGCTGGCCAATAGAATCTTCCTGCCTATTCGTGGCAGCCAGCTATAGGCCCTCACTCTGGCCAGTAGAAAATGGCCGCAAACTACATGAAAACTGCCGTAGAAGCATGAAAAAAATCGATTATTTCCACTATCGATGAGAGTTGGGAAATGCACAGTCGGTCTTGGCCTTCCCGCTAACTTGGAGCATGTCCATGTAAATTTTGGTGCAAATCCGTCGAACATTGCGGCCGTGCATTCGTCACACACACACACACACACACACACACACACACACACACACACACGCACGCACGCACGCACACATCCTGCCTTTTATAGATAGAGATAACCTAGTGTAAGCTACCTAAACAAACTAAAACACTAGTTTTCGATCGAAAAAAAGGTTCGATTTCTATCACTTTTTATCTAAATATATCGAAGGCCAAAACTTCTAGCATATAAATTTCAATGTATGCCTTCCTGTATGTACGCTCAGCGTTTTCTCGATATGGAAGTATAACATTCATTTGTTGTATTCCCTTCTTACTCTTACATATATAAAATTCCATTGATAAAAAAAAAAAAAAAAAAAAACATTATTATTATTTCGCTGGACAAAACTTATGATTTAATATTATTTTTTTCCTTTTTTGTCATTCATTTTCCCATTATTAGTCACATATATAATAATGCTTATATTAGCCGTTTCGTTATAAGGAAACATTCGGAATTCATTGACCTAACAGCTAGTATTACTGTAGGTTGGAATTTATAAAATCTTTCCCTTAAGATGATATTTCAAGGAAATAGGTTTCTAAATTTCAATAGCATCGTTCTTTCCAGTATTGATGGGGGAAATCATTCCTAACCTTTTATTTAAAATAGTGTGGAACTTCAGCATCTTGATTATGTCATTATTTTCTCTTCGAGTTGCATGTGTTATCCATTTTATTTATTGCTGCTGTTTGTCGTCCTCAAGTGATGTACTTTCTGTTATTTGGTACAGTTCTTTGTTTGTGATTATGTAGCGTCGAAAAAGGATGGTCTTCGCTAAGGTTCACAATTTTCACTCGCCCAAAGTCATTTTTAACCACTGATCTGAGAAAGCGGTTTTATACTGTTGACAAAAGGTGTATTTAGTTACCACGCATGAAATGAAACACTCGATAGGAAACGAATAAAACGCTTCTGAAATGTTAAATAACTACTTTATGTAGTTGAATTAGGCAACATATTGGTGAATAACTGTTCTTCAACGTAACTCTAAATTCTTGATCCCATCTTTATAAAATTTCTCATCCTTTAATGGGATAAACAATTCAAATGCTTCGATTACTGCTTCCTTATTGGAGAATGTTTTATTGCGTATGAAAAGCTCAAAATGTTTAAATAAGTGATAATCAGTAGGAGAGATTTAAGGCGAATATGGAGGATGAGGCAAAATTTCATAATTCAGGCTATACAGCTTTTGGACAGTTTATTGAGAAGCGCCAGTTTGTGCGTTGTCGTCTGGCAAAATATAGCCATTCCTATTCACGAGTCTAGGATGTTTCGTGTATACGCTCAATTTTTCCACAATACCAGGTTGCTATTATTGTTTTCCCTTGAGGCAAGAATGAATAATGAATAACTCCTTTCAAAGACCACCATACAGTAACTATTAATTTTTGTGGGTGCAGTGGAAGTTTTGTATATTGTTTTGGTGATTCACTTGCATTTAACCACTGGCCTACTGTCTGACTGTTGTCAAAGATTATCCATTTCTCATTGCATTTAATAATTCGATGCAAAAGAATATTTCTTTTTCCCAGTTTGCATTCATACATTAATATACTCGACATTGTTTCATTGCAATCATTTTCATTTAGTAAGAATATATTGAAAGAAAAATTATCTGGTAAGAAAAAGAGTTAGGAATAAGCCAAGATATATTTATATATTGAGGAGTTTACTTCGTTAGACAAGCGGATCAACAAACAACTAAAAATGCGTCATTTCATGTGTGAAAATAAAAAAAAAACTCTCATAATGTTCTATGTGATTAATGGAGTAGCTTTGGTTGAAGTGAATCGTCAAGGAAGATGGATTTCCATGGACAATATTCTGAAGAGTAGTTACACCCCACGAGTTCAAACATTAACTGCTAATATCTACTATTGCCGGTACACAGAGGCGAACTATAGACATTCTCTTCGCATTCTGTTGGTAAGAAACAAGTTCGATTCGAAGAGCTTCTTCCTAAAGGCCGCTGCTTCGTGCCACAGTTTTCCCAAAAGTTGTTTCCTCGACAAATACAACCTAAATATCTTCATTTTAGGGTCAACCATTACGTATCCTTTAAATTAACAATTACTACATTAAAAAATGGCCGTTCAGTAACCCTCTATCTTCAGTGGTTCTTGAAAGCTGTGCTGGGTAAACAATACCGCAAAAAATGTATGGTATGGCACAAGGTAATAATAGTGGTGTTCCAATAATCAAACACACTGAACGAATTAATTTGTTTCTGTGAACCTCACACAACGACAGACGCTCAGATATTTAAGTTCGCCTTTATATGAGTCGGAAAATGATCACTTCGACGTGATGTAATTCTTATTAAGCTGGTCTCTCTCTAGAACAGATATGACTGAATAGTGAGTATGATCCTCCATACTTTCGGCCTTGTGCCCCAAGCTACCCTTAGTGAATCACTAGACGAGTAGGAAGGTGAATTGTTCGAGTAAGGAGAAACCTGCAACAGAGAAAAAACACCGTTTGAATAACTTGCTTTAGCCAGTGGAACGTTTAAACAGATGAGAAATACATTTAGCTTAGACACTCGTTTACTTGTGTCTGCATATTCCTGGAAATGCGTGTTTTAAAAATACAAAAAAGGTGTGAAATCAGGTGAACTCTGGCGTGTTAAGCCTGGCGGAGTGGTTGAGATAAAAGAAAATATCTCAGTTAGTTATATATTAATGACACCTTACTGATTTTTTCCTGTAGATCATATATATATATATATATATATATATATATATATATATATATATATATATATATATATATAGATAGATAGATAGATAGATAGATAGATAGATAGATAGATTAAAGCAAGTTATTCAAGCGCTGTTAATGACACCTTCCTGATTTTTCTGTAGATCATATATATATATATATATATATATATATATATATATATATATATATATATATATATATATATATCTATATATATATATATATATATATATATATATATATATATATATATATATATGTATGATCTACATAAAAATCAGTGGATCATATATATATATATATATATATATATATATATATATATATATATGATCTACATAAAAAATCAACAAGGTGTCATCAAATTTCTTTATAAATATATATATATATATGATCTACATAAAAATAATCAGCAATGTGTCGTCAAATTTCTTTTTTATATATATATATATATATATATATATATATATATATATATATATATATATATATATATATATATGTATATATATATATAATTAAAAAGAAGATATATATTTTCCGTAATTCTGCTACACGGGATTCTGTTTTCGCCAGCTTCTTCAAACAAAGAGTAGTTATTTCCACATATAAAATGATTTTTTTTTTGCTTGGTAGTAATATTCCAAAGAAATAATTTATTTGTTTATTCATTGATTCGTTTATTTATTTTCGTATACCGGCCTTAATATCCTGAATTTTTATTAAAGAGAAATAGATGCTCTACAGTAGTAGTCGAACATGTTCATCTTTGGGCAGAGGGAAGCCGTCGTTAGATCCGACGTGCCTTTACCAATCAAAGCGAGTTCTGAGCAGTGCCCTTCAGCGAAAACCTTCTCATAGATTCCTCGTAATTCTAATATCTGATCACTTTCGTAAACATGTAATTTACTTAACAAGTAATTGATTTTTTTGTTTATGAATCCGACATATGTTTAACACATTAAACATTATTTTTATTGGATACTCATATTTGAGTAGACGCCCCGTTTATTTATTAAACGTTATATTTATTTATTTTCTACTACCGTTGAAAAGTTATTAAAGAAAAAAAATGGGCTGTCTGGCAGAACGCATATTTACCTTTCATAAAATGTCTCGAATGTTCAGGCCTGTAGATGATGATAAATATATATACAGTTTAATACACATTAAATAATTATATATATATATATATATATATATATATATATATATATATATATTATTTAATGTTTACGTAATGCATTATATATATATATATATATGTGTGTGTGTGTGTGTGTGTGTGTGTGTGTGTGTGTGTGTGTGTGTGTGTGTGTGTGTGTGAAAAGTGTGAAACCCAGGGTCACAAACTCCCATCAATCCAACCAAACATATATATATATATATATATATATATATATATATATATATATATATATATATATATAATATAAATATTTATTTAAAAATATAATTCCAATTTAATGTTTACGTAATGCATTATATATATATATATATATATATATATATATATATATATATATATATATATATATAATGTATTACGGCCCCAGCTTAAACTATTATCATGCAAAATAAATCTAAACTCATTCCGACCCTTCCTCCTTCTGCTGGTGTTGCATATACCGTTGTCAGATGACTCAGGTATTTGCGGTTGATGTCAACACGACACGGTATCCAGGTCACCTTGACATGGCGTGACCGAACAGAGATAATAGCCCCTAAGTGATATGGGCGGGTCTTTTTGGATACAAGAGTGAGAAACAGAGGAATAGAGGGGTGGTGAAAAAAAAAAAAGAGAGAGAAAGAGGGAGTTTGAAGAATTTCAATTGTGAGCAAATCTCAGTCCGCCACAACGCAGTATCACTAATTCTCCGAAAGACTTGATTTCTTTATGAAGCGCTCGCGAATATATGATAGTGAAAATAAAAAAGAAAGAAAAGAAAAGAAAAGAAAAGAAAAGAAAGATTGGAGAAAAGAAAAACATGCAGTATTTTGTCGATCGATCGATTGCGTTCCCACACATGGCACAATGATAAGGTGTCGAGATAAGCGCCGGGTAGATACAGGAAACGAAATAAAGGTGCAAGTCGGGTGGAAACATCGTCAAGAAAGACATTTCTTAAATTCCAATCAGAAAATAAGTTAGACGCAATATTCTTGAAGTAGAACGCTTTCACTTTCAGGAGTATTTCATTTATTTACCTGACATTCTGATCCAAGTTGCAACGGTTATCTGTCAGCAGTCGACGTTCGATCAGAATGGGATAGAATAAGAATCACACACACACACAAAATTATATATATATATATATATATATATATATATATATATATATATATATATATTAGATAATGATACATAGATTTTAAGGTATCAAGAAGAATATTGGGGAAAATGTATGACAAAGTCGAAGAAAGTTTTCGTGTGCCGCGTTTCGTCATTTCGAGCAGAAGAATCTTAATAATAGGCTAGATGATATAAAAACATATTTGAAAAATACCAGCATCCCTCGTTAATGCGCATGTGTAGTCGCACCAACGTAACAAATTTAGTAGATCGATGAAATCCTAAAAGGGCTAAACCCGTCACACGAAAACTTTTTCCACTTTGTCATATAATTTCCTTCATATATATATATATATATATATATATATATATATATATATGAAAGGTGAGCATTGAAGAACAACATCCAGAGGCGAATCATCAGGCCTAATGATTGTGTTTAGCATGAAACAGACTGTCGTCTCTGAGTGTTGACTTCAATGTCCACTTTTATATTTACATACGTTCTATCCCTGATATTGAACACTTTATCCCATAATTATAGCATACCTTAAAAGTATATTTTATCACATTACATATATATATATATATATATATATATATATATTGCCTGTTCTAATGTAACAGTGCATTTTATCTATCTATCTATCTATCTAGCTATCCATATATATGTATATATATATATATATATATATATATATATATATATATATATTTGCCTGTTCTAATGTAACAGTGCATAATAAATAAGTATTTATTGCTCTATATTTGTATTGAGCCCTGTTTTAAATTAATGTTTTGAACGCTGAAATCTTACACTTTGTTCTTTTACATTTGGATATGTGTGTGTGTGTGTGTGTGTGGAAGTAGTAATGATACAGCGTTAGTATTTGAATAAATGAATAAGAATTACACTTAATTTGCAAATAATTATCACTATTATTCTATTATGTTATTTTAAATACATTAATATGAATAGTTAATCCTTACTATGGCTACCCATCTGAAAGCGCTCAACGAAGACATTGAGTATTATTTTCCTTCCTTGAGCACGGAAAATTATGATTGGATTCGAAATCCATTCATAAATGTTACTTTTAATAATAGACTTCCGTTATCTAAAGAAGAAGAATTGGCCACCATTTCTAGTGATCGAGGGCTCGAAATAAAACTTTCGACGGTAACCAGTGATACATTTTCGATTTCAATACAAAAGGAATGTCCTGCATTAGCTAAAAAGGTTTTATCAGTTTCATTGCAATTTTCTAGGTCTTATTTATGTGAATCTGGTTTCCCACCCCTAAATAACATTAAAAATATATATACATTGCGTGTATGTGTAGCTGTCCCTCTTTTTATAAAAGTTTCATTTTGTGTTTCTCTATAAATGCGAGCGCTTTCGGCTACTCATTTATCAGGATTTTTTTTTTACTGAATGTGTAAACATTCGGACAGTTTTTACACACTTTATGTCCAAAAAAAAAAAAACACTTATACGAACACAAGAAAAATTGAACAAAAAATGAATTGCAGTAGCTTGTCAGTCATCTTTAATGAACCTTGTATATATATATATATATATATATATATATATATATATATATATATATATAGAGAGAGAGAGAGAGAGAGAGAGAGAGTGAATTTCTCTAAATGTACTCTTTAAATTAGAATAAAAGTAGCGTTTATTGACACGCAAACTTGTTAAAATTAAGATATATCAATGATTATTGGCTTAGAAAGAAGATTAACGGTTTGATTTAAATATAAATTGAAATTAAATCCATAGATCTGAAAAAAGAAAAAGTAGTTATAAGAATTCAAAAAGTGGTTTAAAATCAAATTTGAGTTATGAAGCTCTTCGTAGCCGGGAGTTCAAAGTGCGTCGGATTAAATGGTAGATCTATTTCCATTTTTTTTGTGTGTGTGTGTTTTTGTCAGCATGCGACAAATCACAAAAAATGGAAATAAATCTAACACACAGGGGTCATTAAAAGATAAGAATATAGATATCTCCCCCCCCCCCATTCTCGGACCAGTCTTAATTGTTTTATTACCCTTCACTCCAGTTCAAGAGAGACATTTGGGTCACTAACACACAAAAAAGATAATGTCTAATATCAAGAATATTTAACATCAAAAAATATAATAAAAATTAATTCCTTTTATTAATATGTCGAAATGTTCACTGTTTGCCTGATAAAGGTCGCGAGACTGGAAACCCGTGTAGCAAAATTATAGAAAATAAAGCATAATATAGAAAATCCACATTACAACCAAAACGTTTGCGGTTTCTCTCTTTTGATTATACATACTTTTCTCTCGTTGGAACTACTATAACCTCTTCCCTTTATATATATATATATATATATATATATATATATATATATATATATATATATATGAAGAGAGTGAGATATTGATAGAAAGACAGAGAAATAAATGCAAAGATATATACACTTGTATGTAAATGTTTTGGAACAACTATATAAAATGATTGTACATATTTTTAGCATATTAATTTAAGATACTGTAGCTATAATGCGTTAAACACCGAAATTTAAATTCTTTAATTCGCCATTTTTTTTAATTTGTCATTTTCATTTTAGTAATAGTAGCAGTAGTAGTAGTAGTAGAACAGACGAAAATGGTCTAAGTTGTTTGAATCATTTCAGAAGGCTCCGGCTCGAATCTCACCATAGTCGATTTGCATCAGGAATGACTTCTTGAAAATATTGGCATGGGGGGTGGGAATCGATCCCAGCGCGCGGCATCTTTGTATAGTGACTAAAAAACCATACGACTAGTTGACCCTTGCCTTGTGAGTGAAATAAGCTTGACGGAACAGTACAGTCGATAGTTGTGTTTGCGGCAGACGTCATTGTGACTGTGTATTTGAGCGTACGGGTCTGTACAAACTGATGATCACGTCATGTGACGCGCTCTCTCCCAGAATGTCTACCTAAAGTCCAATCAGCATTGTTGTTGTTGTTGTTTTAAGCATTTCACCCCAAGCAAGATGGAAGTGCTACAGAGAGTGACAGTAAGGGAAAAGACTGGGTATAGTGGGGATTGAGGAAAGGATAAAAATAAGAATCGGGATCAAGGCATCAGAAGACATTACATTTAAATTTTTGAAAATTTTTTGGAAAATTTTATCAGGGAAGCAAGTAAGAGGAAGGGAGTTCCACTGTCGGGAAGTGCGTGAGAAGAAGCTGTTGGAGTTGAAGAGGCGGTTACATTTAACTGTTTCGACAGTAAACGTGTGGGACCGAGATGCCAACCACGTAGCACGATTAAATTCATGCAGTCGGAGCAACTGTGAAAATAGCTCGACAGAGCAGATGCCATGCAAATATTTGTAGAAAATCCAGAAGGAAGCCACATCACGTCTGTGGGAAAGTGACAGCATTTGTAGACCCCGAGTCATGACCGATTCCATTGCATATCCGTCTTTGGATTTTGTCGAGAACCCCTAGATGAATAGCGAGGGCACCAGACCATATATGGCAAGAGTATTCCATTTATGTACGAATGGTAGATTTGTAAATGTGAAGGATGGACTCAGACAAGAAAAAATATTCTAGCGCGACACAGAGAACCAATTTTCCTTGCGGTAGATGCTGTTATTGATTCAGTGTCGTAGTGTAAACCATATGGGGGTCATGTGGGCGTTGAATAGACACAAATGCGCCTTAGCAGTCGTCTGCAACAGGAATTGGCCAGTCATTATATTATATTATATTAGTTCGGAATAGAAGGGTAGGTTGAAATAAAAGATTGGAAAATTCGTTCAATTTTTTTTTTTTTTTTTAATAAAAAAGAATGGAGATGACGTTGGAATAAACGGACAGTTTTTTATTAAACAGGCAGGTTGGAAATAATGCAACATGACTTATGTGGATAATCTGCCATAACAATGGCTAGGTTGGAAAAAAATTTATCATGAAAATATTTATAGAAAATGCAAAAGGGGGCAACCTTAGGTGGTGGATAAATGATTGAAACCGAGACGCCAGATCGGAGCCAATTGCTGATTTTTCTTTGGATTGTATCCAGGAGCCCCAGATAGATAGATAGATAGATAGATAGATAGATAGATAGATAGATAATGAACATATTGAGATAGATAGATAGATAGATAGATAGATAGATAGATAATGAACATATTGAGATAGATAGATAGATAGATAGATAGATAGATAGATAGATAGATAGATATGAACTGAAATATATAGATTCATAGATAGTTATGAATAAACTGAGATAGATAGATAGATAGATAGATATGAACTGAAATATATAGATTCATAGATAGTTATGAATAAACTGAGATAGATAGATAGATAGATAGATAGATAGATAGATAGATAGATAGATAGATATGAACTGAAATATATAGATTCATAGATAGTTATGAATAAACTGAGATAGATAGATAGATAGATAGATAGATAGATAGATATGAACTGAAATATATAGATTCATAGATAGTTATGAATAAACTGAGATAGATAGATAGATAGATAGATAGATAGATAGATAGATAGATAGATAGATAGATAGGCGTACCGGACCATAAGTGGCAGCAATATTCTAAGCATGGATAAATGTAAGATAAACTCTGGAGGGAAAAACCGTCTAGCGGAGTGCGTCTCTCTCTCTCTTGGAGGTCAGCATAAGCCTTCCTGATGAAAGGCAGAGAGGTTTCTCACAGATGATTAACAGTGCAGTTTAGTTTTGCAAGCGTTAAAATTAAAAAGCCATCATTTTCTCCAGTTAAAAACAGACTGAAGGTCGTTTCGGATATCAGCTGCCATTTTGACCTTAGGAAACTGATCATACTTACTATTGAGATAGGAGTAAATGGCTGTGTCATTGAGGGCTTGTGCCATTTTGGATTGTCAGGACTGGAAAGTGAATACTAGCCATCTCCAAACCAGATATGGCAGCAGTACTTCCCTTTTGACCGGATCTGGCTCTTGTAAAAACAGAGCGTAGGAAGAGGAGTTAGGTACTTACTAGAAGCCGACCATTTTTCTAGCATCTTTAGCAATGTATCGTAGATGCGAATTTCATTTGATGTCTGAGATGAGTTTATGTCCCAATAGGCGTTTGAGACAAATATCTATCAGCAATAGACCAAGCATATCGAAGTCCGTATTTTTTGTTACTCAAGCGGTTGTCTCTGTTGAGGTGCTTGACAACTTTCTTGCTTATAGACTCAAAGCTGCCAGGTGTCTCCTACTTAGGATACTGTATTGTTGCTTTTTTATTTTAAATTTATGAACTGTATTCTTTAAAAAAAATCCAGACACGATGACCACTTTAGGTGGCCTACGTTTCGCACTCCGCGCTAAGTATCATTGCGGCAAAATGAAATCCTCTTCGAATTCGAATGGCCGGTACACACGGACGTAACCATATCCATGGCCAATGTTTATGTTGTTATCCAAATTTTTTTGTGACCTAATACATCTCTCTACAATAACTTCAGTCATTTTAAAACACCGACAATGAATCAACAAGCCAAATTTATTCTGTTACGAGTGTGAGGGGAATTTACAACAGTTTTACAGTAGCGAACGTTTACTTATCTCCTGAGAACTGTTTACTTTCATTATTTTGACTGTAACATTGGAGTTCTGGACACATACTGGTCACCAGACATCTGTTGTAAACCCTGTTCAAAGGAACTCACTGCACAGTTTCATGTCAAGAAAGCTGTCAACAACTTTGCTGTCTCGATAATGTGGAGATGATTGTTATTTTTGTCTAACAAATACAATTGGTTTCAATAATTAATCCATGCAAAAAATCAAATATTTCAAGCTCCCTTCGGCCATGAGACCTGTTTCTCACTCAGATTATCTCTTTATTCCGACACCTACAGCACATTACTTCATCATATGAAAAATCACCTGACGAAGAAACTTCTGCCTAGTTGGTCCTTACAGAAGACAATGCACCTGTTTATTCAGGGGTAAGTGAAGTTTGAGTGGCATTCGTTATGCAATGCCCTCATAAGCCCGTAACAACTTCTCGATACGTTCTTGGTAATATTGCACCTTTGCAGTATCAAGGAAACAATATCAAACTGACAATGGCTTCCCATATTCTCAGTTCATTTAAAATAAGTAGCTCCACAATAGCACAACCAGATTTCTATGTCGAAGAATAAGGCAAAGACTTTGTTTCGTGTCCACTTTACATCTGCCATGCCCTGGTTCCGCCTGCTTAATCCGGGATGCAAAGAGCTCTGACTGCTGTGTAAATAGGCAAAGATTGCGGGCAATGTCATTCAGGTCGTCCTGGGTGACCCTCTGGGGCTCAATGCCACCTTCTTCTGAATAAACAGGTGCATTGTGTCCAGTAAGGACCAACTGGGCAGAAGATTCATCGTCAGGTGATTTTTCATATGATGAAACAATGTGCTGTAGGTGTCGGAATAAATGGTCAAAAAGGATAAAAAGCAACTGACTTTTCACCAT